CATGGAAGGCAGAGCCCAGGTTTTTTCCGTTTGTGTGGAGCGGCTCTGACGCTGGCTCCAAGGAGGAGTGTTGAAAACATGCACTCCGCCTTCCGATGCCGTTTTTTGTAGATGCAAGACAGGCCTGTAAGTGCCACGATGTCTTAGCATGTTACATGTAGAGCCAACTTGTCCGAATGCTTCAAGCATGTTCGCAAGGGATCTACAACGTGTGTGCTGTGTGAGAGTGAAAGGGTAGGAGCTTTGCCTGCTTCATGGAACTCCGTGAACCCCTGGACCTCTGCGCTGCACAAATCGAGAAGTGTACCAACTGGAATTGGCCCTGGAGGCCTTGAGTTCTTTCAATAATTATAAGGACCCCCAAATAAGGTACCCTAATATTCAGAAACTTTTAGAGAACTACCCTCAAGTTGGCTCTGGTGGGCCAGAGCCGGACGGCAGACGTGGGTGAATGGAATGGGCCAGGAATCCGAAAGCTTGAAACCTGGGTTTACGGCTTAATATAGGGGCCTTAATACTTAAAATAGGGTTTTGGGGCCCATTCTACTATACTTGATAATAAGGAACCCCCAAAATAGTATGAGTAACTATCTAGGCCCCTATATTAGGTTGTTAGGGTTTCGGGTTTAGGGACTCCTACTACAGCCCAGACATACCCTTAGTTCACACCATGAATCCTCCACATCTTGAGCGCTGAAGACTCGAAGTTGAAGCCTTAAGCCCAAAAGCCATCAAGAGGTTTAGGGTTTAGGGTTTAGGGTTTAGGGTTCCTGCCCCCCCCAACTCCAACTCATACCACTTGTGAAATTTTTGACAGAAAGGCTGAAGACACCATGCAATTAAAACGCGTTGGCTTCTTGAGGAGTTCTATACATAAGGCGTGCCAGGCCCGGGCTTTAGGGTCTAGGGTTCAGGGGCTTAGGGTTTGGGGTTTAGGGTTTAGGGTTTAGGGTTTAGGGTTTAGGGTTTAGGGTTTAGGGTTTAGGGTTTAGGGTTTAGGGGGTGTTTAAACTCTGCCCAGGCATACTATACCATGGATAGGGATATGTGTTAGAGAGGTGGATTGAAATTCAGTGTCGGGTTGGAAGTCTGTCCATAAGACTCTTGAAATTAGTTTGTTCGGATTTTTCCTCCAGGGTTACCAGCTCTCATGATTGCGGTCTCTTCTTTTCCCGATGATAGGAAAACTTCGCCAGTGTTTAGGGTTCGTAAACCTCGGGGTTTCGGGGTTAGGGGTCTTAGGGTTTAGGGGTTTTAGGGTTTAGGGTTTTGGGTCTTGGGGTTTAGGGTTTAGGGTTTAGGGCTTAGGGGTTTTAGGGTTTAGGGTTCAGGGTTTAGTGCTCAGGATCTCATAACCTACTATTTTAACCCTAAACCTGAAGCAGTTAACTACAAAGGTTACTTATTCAAACTTATGTTTCCAGTGTTTCTCGTTTAGGGTTTAGGGTCAGCATTCAGGGGCTTAAATCCTAAAAACCCCAAAGCCCTAGCCCCAAACCCTAATCCCCTACACCCCTAAACCCCTAAACCCTAAAAACCCCAACACCCTAGCCCGCCCTAAACCCTAAACCCCTAAAACCCTAAACCCCTAAACCCTAAAAAACCCAGAACCCTAGCCCGTTACCCGAAACCCCCTAAAACCCTAAACCCCTAAACCCTGAAAAAACCCGCAAACCCTAGCCTAAACCCTAAACCCCTACACCCCTAAACCCTAAATCCTAAAAAAAAACTCCTAAGCCCTAAACCCTAAACCACATCGGCCCAAAGCTCGTTCCCGTCCCGAGCCCCTAGCTCATCCTCATCGATCTTGCCGTCACCGTCTTGGTCAATGCTATCCTCAAGGGACCCTTGTAGGTTATTGGGGTTATTATCCAGAATAGCTGGCTTTGTAAGGGGTATATAAGGACTATACAATGGTTATTTAAGGTAATGGGATTAAGGCGATTAAGGGTCCCTCTTAGGGTTTGTAGGGGCCTATAGGGCTTATACAGTTTAGGGTTTAGGCTATACTGTCCAGGGTCTTGAATAAACGCCACACGTCCAGCCCGAAGTTTCGAGGTGAGGCCGGCACAATAGGATCTTTTGGCGATTTAGGAGTTTAGGGTGTAAGGCTTTGGGGGTTTTGCATAGAGCGGGGTTTAGGTGTTTGGGGTTCGGGGTTTGTCACTGTCATTCTGCGGCCGTCTTCTGCAAACTTCACAGTAGACCCGAAACCTAGAAACTACGACGTGAGTTAGGTGGTTCTCTAGGTCCCGTTTAGCGTCCTTTTTATACGGGTGCCATACTAGATTGGGGACCTAAAAAAAGGCCCTACTTTAGAGAACTACCTATTTAGGGTCGGAAGACTTCGGATTTCAAACATGTCTGAACCCGGGCTTTTTGGTCCGGTGCACTGCAACTTCACGATGGTCGGAGCCCACCCTAAATCCCTGATCGCCACACCTCAAACCCTGAACCCAGGAACCTAAAGCTTCTCTTGGATATGGGTAGTTTCTCTCAAGCTGGGTTTAAAGAGTGCCGTACAATTTTGGGAACCCTGAACCCTAAACCCTGCACCCTAAACCCTAAAACCTAAAACTACCCTAAACCATAAAAAGTCAACCTAACCTAAAGAGAACTCCCCAGTCTCGAAGCAGACTGCAGCTTCGAGAACATCCGGGACTCCGGCCAGCAACATCTGAATGTCACCTGAGGAAAAAAGGGTTTAGGGTTTGGGGTTTAGGTTTTGGGGTTTAGGGTTTAGGGTTTAGGGTTTAGGTTTTTTTATGGTTTAGGGTTTAGGGTTTAGGGTTCCGGCAGCTTAGGGCATAGATGGCATCGATCGCGCTTAGGCCCGTAAAGGGGCCGGAACAGCCTCGAATGAGGTTTTGGGGTTTCAGTTTGGTATATGGGGGTTTCCGAAAATAGGGGACCCTAATATAGTACCCTAAATAATAGGATCCCTTTTATAAGGACCCCAAAATAAGGTACCCCCCTATTCTCGGAAACTCCCATATACTTACAAGAAGGCGCCCGAAGGAATAGTATTGGCCGTCTATTTAAGCCTATATATTATAGGTGTCTAGAGTTTAGGGTTTTGGGATTATGATTAAGCCGCAGGAATTGCTCTTGGATCTCCTTCTGCCAAGACCGTTTCAGAGACGTGGAAGCATAGGTTTGGGACGGATCTCTATGGTGGGTTGGCGGCTTTCAGATATGCAAAACCCTAAACCCTAAACACTAAACCCTAAACCCTAAACCCTAAACCCTAAACCCTAAACCCTAAACCCGTTTACAAAAGGGACCAGAAGATGGAGGCTGGCACCAGACTTTTGACTGTTTATGGCTTTGGGTTGAGGGTTTAGGCTTCGGGGTTTAGGATTTAGGGTTTAGGGTTTAGGGTTTAGGGTCTAGGGTTTAGGGTTTAGGATTTAGGGTTTGGGGTTTAGGGTTTAGTGTTGGGTCCAGAAGAAGGGGCTATCCAGGTTTACGAAGTGCTGTAGGGCTTCAAAGTGCTTCTTCGTGTCTACGAGGCAATTACAAGGGTTTCGAAAGAGGCAGAAAGGGCGTAGACTTAATCGGATGCTCCCAAGTCAAGGCATCACGGGACCAGGCGTCAATGGAGTGTGAATTCCACTAATGGGGCGTTATCCAACTACAGCCCCTGAGCCGCCATTAGGTGAGCCATAGCAACAAGCACTCAAATCTTCTGCCCTAACAACAACAACAACAACAACACCCGCAGCACCACCAACCACCACCACCACCACCACCACCACCACCACCACCACCACCACCACCACCACCACCACCACCCCGACCACAACAACGACGACGACGACCATGATAAAGTAACTCTCTCATCAGTAACACTAGTGCTAATAATCGTGAATAACAATAACACATAACCGGTATCACAATAGCAGCTGAGTGCAGCGCTGATGTCTCCCAGCTGGTCAATGGCCTCGAAGGCCTCCTTTAGCCTGACTTTGCCAGGGACTTCGGGTGTTGAGAAGATGCCTGGACCCTCTAAAACCCTTCCCTTTCCAGGCTCCCCTACTACGAGTTCCCTAAACCCTGGGGGTTGAATTTTAGGGCTACATGATCGATTTCCTTCCTGAACCCGTACGGTTTGGAGGTAGCAGCAGTCTGCCCAAAGCCCCACCGAAAAAAGGTTGAGAACCATGAAGACCAAATGGAAAGAAATCGCTGCACACCCGAGGCTCAGACCGTTTTGAAGTCTAAGGCAGAACGAAATGCCGTAGGATTCGATGCGCTGTCAAACGTCCGAGGCCCCTGCCGCTCTGTTGTGATGTAGCCCGACCTTCAGCCAGCGAAGTCTTGTCTTCAGGATTCAGATTGTCCTGCAAATTCAACGTGTGGGGTGTTCTCTAACATAGAATCCCGCTTTGGTCCCGCACCCTTATGAAAAGGACGCTAAAAGGGACCCGAATTTCAAGAACTACCTTTGTGGAAGGCGTCTTCAAATCGGTGGTCCTCTTTTCGTGGTCTTACTACAAAAGGATAGCACTTTTAGAACCCCATAGCGGCCAAAAACTTTTGTGCCTACCATACTACAAGTGGTCTGAATGCAGAGCAGCATGCTTTGGGGTTTCAGTTTTGGGGTTTAGGGTTTAGGGTTTAGGGGATCCAGAAACCACCGTGAAGCCTGCATGCTACACCCTAAACATCCACCCCCTAAACCCTCAACCTCAAACCTAAACCCTTAAACCCCTAAGCCCCAAACCCCAAAGCCTAAGCCCCAAAAAACTGCGAGCACCACGGCTTCGAACTCAACAAACAAATGTAAAAGGTTTAAAGTTTACCGTTTATAATGCCTAGCTAAGGAAGTATAGTCCCCTACCCCCAGTCCCCCTTACCCCCTTAGGGGTCCCTATAATCATCATGGTAACAACAGTAACCGTAATCAGAACAATAAAGTCAGAAATCTGAATACTAAAGATGGTCATAGCAGTAGTTTAGTAACGGCGATACTAGCAACCGCAAGAATACCAAGGCCTAACGGAAATAGCATTAACAGCAATCAGGGCAGAACAGTAGCTGGTAACCGTACTGATAGTAAACACCAAGAGAATCTCGCGAAGCTGTCATATAGGTGCCCTTAATACTTGGAAGAGGGTTTTGCGGTCCTTAAACGGGCTCCTTTAAGGGCTACTATACGGGCATAGTATAAGGGCCTAATCGAATACGGTTCTGGGGTATACTATATGTACTATCATTATAGTAAGGAAAATATGGTTTTGGCGCACATTATACCAATAAGCAACCCCCCACCACCAAAATAGTATCATTAAGGCCCCTGTCTTAATTAAAACCCTCTCGATCCACTCCGGAGGACTCGTCTTTGAACGACTCGAAGGCAACGTCGATAATTTCCTGCGGTCAGAAGTGGCTCTATGAGGGCTCTGGCTTCGGGATTTACTTGCAGGGCTAGAAAGGTGCAAGAAGATTATCTTATCAGAAAAGCTAGAGTAAAAGAGCCTCATCTCCGAAGTATCGCCGAATAAACCCTAAACCCTAAACTCCTAAAGGCCTATAGATCCCATTATAGATCCCTTAAAGGAGCCCTAAACCCTAAACTCCTAAAGCCCGATAAGATCCCATTATGGATCCCTTAAAGGAACCCTTAAAGGAACCCTTAAAGGGACCCTTAAAGGAACCCTTAAAGGAACACTGAAAAAACGTCCGAACCGGCACCCCCGCAGCTACATACCTCGTCCCGAACCCGTGACTCCAAGT